GGATTGGCGCGCTTAAGAGTCGGATATTTTTAACCGATCGCACGTGAATTCGTCAATCCTTGCAAAGAAAGCTTCAAGGAACGCGAAAAGGAATTTAAAGCAAGAAAATAGCTAATTTATCCACAGATAAACACAGATGAAAATGGATTTTAATTTGATTTTACAAGTAACGAACAAAGGGAAGCAGTTGAAAAATAGACAGGTAACTCTATTAATTATTATATTTATCTGTGTCTATCTGTGTTCATCTGCGGACAAAATTTCAGCGCAAGGTTTGTCTGTTGCCGTGCCGAATACGGTCGGGATGAACGGCGCAAAGCTCAATCAGATCGACGCTTTGGTTGAAAAAGATATCGCCGATAAAAAAATGCCCGGCGCGGTCGTTATTGTCGGACACAAAGGCAAGATAGTTTACCGAAAGGCTTTCGGCAATCGTGCGCTCGTGCCGACGGTCGAAAAAATGACGGTTGACACGATCTTTGACGCGGCATCTTTGACGAAACCGATCGCCACGGCGACGAGCATTATGATTCTGGTCGAACAGGGAAAATTACGCCTGAAAAGCGCGTCATAACCGCCCGCGATGATGCCTTGTACCAGATCGTAAGAAACGCCGTAAGTCGGCGGAATCTCGCTTGCATCCAAAACTCCGAGCCGTCCGCTTGTGCCCGTGCCGACATAAAAAAGCCGTCCGCCGTTCTCTAATCTTTCAACGATTTTATCGACAGTTTGCGCAATTTCGGGCAAAACCTTTTCGACCGCTTCAGCAACTTTTTTGTCTTCGTTATTGATAAGCTGAACCGCTTCGAGCGTCGAAACGCGGTCAATGTTTTTCGTGTTCGGATTTTCCTGTTCGGTAATTGGCAGCATTTTAAAATATTCAGAATTCATTTACTTTAAGCAAGCGAAGAAGATTTGACGGCGTTGCGAATTTTGCCGTTTCCGTTCTGAAAAAGTTCAAAAGCCATTTTTGCGGCGGCGTATGCGGGAACTAACTTCGGCTCGGTCAAATAGGCTTTCGGCGCAATTTTATGAATCGTTTCGAGTAAAGGTTTCGTTAATAAATCGCCCGTGTTGAAAACGCTTCCAACGTGTCCGAT